TTATTGTTATTATTATTATATTATATAAGATGGGGTATATAATTGAGATATTTTATAAACACACATTTTTACATTTTGATATTTTATTTAAAATATCTGGCTTTTTTTCCTGATATTTCATCTAAATTTTAAATTTTTTTACTTGCCTCTATTTATTAATATGTCAAATGTCATCTACAAACAATAGCATTTTTCTGATAAGAATCAGTAATAGTATATCATGCATCAAGTGCGGTAAACGGCATTTGACTCACGAGTTTATTTGACACGAACGGAGCGCGTGCTTAACAAAGGAGTGAGATAAAGAGTTTTTCTACTCCCGTCTGTAAAATACGTAATTACCCACCGTTCTAGAGTGCGGGAAGCGTCACTTTACCATGTCAGTTTCGTTTCCCATGAATGCGAGCCACTTGGGACATTTCCGGGATTTTACCGCGCGGATTTGGGAGCAATCTTTTTTTTTTGGGAGATATTTCCCAGGTTTTGAATTTTGATGTTTGTCAATTCCGACAGTCATGTCGGAATTGACGGTCGTAGAAAAAGTGTAGTATGCAATATATTCGGTAAACTTTTTAAGTCACTCGTTTATTAAACACTCGCTCCGCTCGTGAGTTAAATGCCGTTTACCGCACTTATTAAAGAATTACAAACGGGAGTAGAAAAAAATATTTTTGTAATGGAAGTTGATGAAAATATTATATTACAGCTACGGTACCTCAGCGGCCTGTTCGCGGAACCCTGCTTATTTTATGAACTATTATAGAGGCAGAATAAAGTATTCGCTTAACAGTCACTAAGCTCTTAATGCACACAATCTTATTTAATTTAATTTCTTTCTAAATAATAACAAATATAAACAGAATCCATATTACTTGACAGACATATCGATTCTAAAATGACTTGGAACAAACACCTCACCATCTCTCACGAAAAATTATTATACCGTTCAGAATAATGGTTATATTAAGCTAAAGGAAGCATATTAACTGCAACACGAAACATACATTTAGATAATGCGTAAAGGTGTCCTAAACATAAACATGTAACAACAATATACATATAAGGCTCTATAATTTTTTTAGTAGACTCGAATTTTATCCGTTCAACCTATTAAAATAATATATAATAATAGTATGTATGTCAACTAAGCTTATATTTGTAACTACGACATGCGCACGCACCTTAACTATGGTAATTGTCTACATCAATTACCATAGATCTCAAATGAAATTGCGCAGCATCACGCATTGAAAAACAATCAAGCAAATATTTCAAATTAAGAATTATTTTACAAATCATCATAATTTTAATATGGAAGTCATTCCCGTGACACCGGTTGATACATACTATATGTTATAACTTCTTCACTTCCCCTAAACGTATTTCTTGCAGCAAATTTTATTGAAGTTTCTTTGAGAGATTAATCTACAATTTTGCTATTTATTATTAATTATTATTATTTCTTTATTTTAGATTGCAGAGTTCATGTATAAGAAGCATAAAAAAGCTCAACATTCAAAAACGCACAAAGAAAAAATATCAGTCACGCCTCAGACAAGAATTAGAACACACACCAACTGCCACAGACATTGAAACAGAATGGAACATACAACTATAACAAATATAGCAATTGAAGTAGGCAAAAAGAAAAAGTTTAGAAGGCGGAAAGGCTTGAGGTTCTGGATACCTGAACTAAAACAATTATTTGGCGAATTGACGTAAAGCAATCTCTGCATAAACATAAATAATGAGATTAAAAACGCCCGGCTTCACAATTTGACTAAATTCCTTGCTACTACTACTCCGACACAAAGATCAACACATGCATTTTTTCATCCTACCGAGAAAACAAACTCGCCATATGGATGATCCGAAAATAGAAGCAATAAAGCCAACCATATTTCCCATGCATATTAAATCCTTCACGCTTCATAATTTCGAATAATTATTTGCATAAATCTGTCAGTACAGTTTCGCATGCTCATCCCGGCAGCAAACCCTTTCCGAAAAAAAAGCGACCCTTTTTTGGGGCGCAACAAAAGATAGGCAAATCTTTTCGGCAAACCTGCAATTGTGCGGATGGTAATAACACGCATTTTCCTTATTCAACGGACCGTGGGTTATATCATATATTTCTTGTGTGTGCGTGTTCGTGTTGCGAGTGCGGAAGGGTTTAAGATATGTATGTGCGATATTTTTATAATATGAACGCCGACAAAAACCGTTACACCTTCGTGCCAGTCTGAATATTTTTTGGACGCAGCGGATATCGCAGCATTCATCACCATTGCCTCGTGTATATTTTGAAACTTCGTCAGAACCGTCAGAAAATTTTAGTTTTTTACGTATCACAGACACAGACGCCATCGTTGCTCGTGCTAGGCGTGCAAGGCAAATAAATATGTAGTGATGCTTTTAACACTTATGACAAGGAAATTTAAAAAAAAAATAAAAAAATAAATTAAATACTCAAATCGAATACCGCTAGCAATTTAACAGTGGTTCTAATTCCAGTGTCGCCATTAGGGCAAAGCTGCGTAAATATGTTGCGATAATATACCGCTAAAACATGAAATTATCTTTTGGGGTTTCGGAGAAGTATGCACGGAAGCTGAAGCTCGGATAACCGTGATACCTCTGCATTTTAGTTTTATATCATTTTATATGATGTTTAAAAGATATTATTATTTATAGGTTTTCTACCTATAATAATTATTCGGATTACTTTATTACCTAAAGAGAATTTTTTGCGTTTTTTAAATTTGTTCTCTATCCAATTTATTTGTGTTAGTTATGAGAACGTGTTGCATACTATACCTTTTCTACGACCGTCGCGAAAAAAACACAATTTAACAAATTAAAAATAATAACAGATTATCGAGTTACTCAGTTTAGTGCCATTCAACATATACGGATATTTTCGGAGATATTTCCCCCCCTTGAATTTTTACGCTTGTTCAGACGGACATGTCAGTAAATGTAAAACTAACTAAGAAAAAGTATAGTATGCAACACGTTCGGAAAACTTTTTAGTCTAATGCCGTTTACCGCACCTGCATAATATACTATCTCAGTTGCCATTAAACTTACTCGTTTATGGTTCCGATCGGTTCTGCTATTGTTGTCTCTGTTTAACTGTGTACGTTAGATAAAGAGAGAGGTATTTTTAAATAAACACAATTTTAAAACGTTATGTTGTTTGTTTAACTTTTACAATTGATCATTAAGTAGTTTATTTAAAGGAAAAGACTGTAATTGAAAGAAGAACCGTCCAAGCACAGAGCTTTTAAGAGGATTAAATTTTTAAGATTGTATAAGCAAAAAAAAGCAGGTCCTAACCTTCAAGTTCATGTGAACGGTATGTAAAATTTCTGTTGGAAACTTAAAATTGTAAATTTCACTTTACTTAGCAAGTAGTCCGCTAGATTTGAATTGTAGCTTACAGCCAGTAGTATTTAAATTGTCTGATATATTGCATAACATTTTTCTTTGTATTAGTTTTTCGGTACATTTTTGCAAAACGACACGAATACATTCACTGATATGACCGTCAGAATTGACAAAGGTCAAAATTTGACAGTGCGGTTGCTCCCAAACCCTTGGGGTAAAAACCCGGAAAAGTGTGCAATTAGGTATTTTAAAGATGGAGCAAAAAATAGTATATTATGCAACAAGTGCGGTAAACGATATTTAAGCGAGTGCTTAATAAACGACGCTTCCAGCATGCTAGTTCCGTGTGTAATTAGGTATTATACAGACGCGATTAGAAAAAAAATATTATTATATATGGAGTTGTTTGTTGCCAAATTTCTTAAAAAGTCTTTTTAATCTCTGAAAATATTCAAGATAACTATTGTATATATCCAATAAAAAAGTTCCAGAATGTTTCGCAGAATATGAAAATGTAATAATATACAGGGTGGTCGATTTAAAATACGAAAGTTGATACACGTTACGAGTATATCTGGCAACACCGTAACATGTCAGGTTTTTATCGTAAGTCATTCTCCATAAACGTCTAATAGGACACTCACAATAAATTAGCCCGTATAATTAACATCGTTACCGAATAGCACTAGTAATCTATATTGTTTTATATTCAGTTACGAACATGATCTAAAGTATGTTAAAGTCATCAAGATAGCACTAAAATTGCCGAAATGTCGACGGGATAAGAGATTGTTTTTTTTTTATATAAATATACCCCAAAAGAACGTATCAAATTCTTTGATATCGAAAGGGGAACTTAAATTTTTACTATAAAGAACTTTATACAAAATTTCTCCAAATTGTTCGACAAAAAATAAAATATTTTCTAGAAGCGATTTAAAAAACATCCGACCAAGGATGATGATGCTTTGCACGGCTGCCTGAAAATAGAACGTCGCCAAAGAAATGTCTAAGTTGCAGATAATTAAATATAGGCAACATCTTTGGTTTTCTACTCAAGTTTAGTACATTTTACAAGTTTCCCTATCTAAGGCGTAGTTTACTAATCTGAACCTCTTCAATAACCGCTGTATCGATGAAATAAGCTCGATTTCAGTACATTAAGCATAAAATAAGTATTTCAATGATATAACGTTACGAAAAGTTCGACTTTCATTGCAATATTGCAAAACGCTTTCGAAATGCAAAAATCTGTCATTATATTTAATGATCTGCATATCGTAAATTCGACAAATTATCGCGCCATCATTCTAAAACTCGGCATACGCCGTTCGAAAACGGATGCGGCCTGTCCCTTCGATACTCATTATTATGCACATGCACACGCGCTTGAGCTTATAACTGAAAATTAACAAAGGGTCGAAAAAGCGGGACGACGACGTATGCAGATGGGACCCAGAGAGTTTTTTTCTTAATTTCAAAAGGGGGTTAGGTTAATCAGTCCCCACTCCATATTTTAATGGGATTCAAGGCCACACCCCGAAAAACAGAAGGGTTGATGCTCGGGCTACGGATAATTTTAATTTTTTGTCGTCGGTGCGATGACGAAGGTGGATCGTTTGCGTTCTGGGAGAATGTTCAGCGTTGGTTAGTGAGTTTTACAGTGCTCGAAGGTTGACTTTCGAATTGGAGACTGCCTTAAGTTGTTACAGGTAAGGAGCGTAAAGAGAAATTGCTTAAATTTGGTGGCCTTTTGTTGACATCGTTATATGTAAATAGTCAATTGAAATTCTGATAAACAACTTAATAAGTTTCGTTCAATGAGTTATTGGAAAAATTTTTCCAAGTGAGCTATATTTACTGCAGATATTTTTTGACAACATTCTATTTGCTCTAGTCGGTTGAAATGTGGGAACGCCAGAAAATAATAATAATAATGAATGTTTTTTATTGTGTAATGTATTATCAACAAGAGTATATTGCAATAAATTTATCACGACAATTCCGGTGCAGTCTAGCTTAAAAGCTGAACCGAACATTGACATGTTTAATCAAGATATTTAACTTTAAACTTTACGCAATCGAGCAATTTATAACAATGAAAATTGAAGCTATTTAGCTATAAAAAAAAATCCTATAAAGACCATAAACAGTTTTACAATATGAAAATGTTATTGTGTGCTTAAAATTTTAACATTGATACTTAAACAGTGTTTGGGTCTTGAATTGTAACAACGCACTGCGTTACACGAGAAAGAACAACAAAACATGGCGGTCCGACGGTGTTGTAGGTTTAATGATACTTATTTAATTACTTTAATAATAGGTAGATGTAGATCTCTACTAGCATCCATTCTCAGCCAATTTATATTGCTATGAAGATGAGATATGATTTATTATTATAAGATTATTTCTATGTCTCTGCAATTTCCACGTATAACAAGACCGTATCTCATATGTGTCTCAAAATTACTGCGATAAAGCATTTTTTTAGTTTCCCATGAAATATACGTACCTAATACTCTAAGACTATATATATTACTTTATTTAACTTATCTACTACATTACACCCTAAAAGGTGCTATCCAAATACCCAAAAACATTGTCAATCGCTTAAAACAATATCACCGTTGTTTAAATTTAACTTCTGTAGTGACTCTACTTTCGGTCGATTTGTTCTAAACATTGTTACAACAGTCTTAGCGTTATTAATAACTAATTTATTTTTAGTAAACCAATTATTCGCTCTCATCATGAATCTCTCAGCTTCCTTTTTGAGGTTTAAGGTGTACTTATTTACAATTGGTATCATCGGCGCAGTTAGTGATTTTACAACTTTGATAAAAAATAAACAACTTGCGGCTTTCTTTCTGAAAGGTACCATTGCACCCACCTCAAAGCCAGTGCTCTTATTGCATACATTTGTAGTTGATTGAAATGCATACTAAGGAACAACGCTAATGGGATTTCACCACTTTCTAAAACATCAAGTATATGTTGTACGAAGCTAAGTACTGCTGTTTGAATTGCCTGCCATAAAGTTTAAAATTCGATGACACATCAGTTTTTCGAAAATTTTAGAGAATGATGGTAGCAGAACTTAAACCTCTTTTAAAGATTGGGAAAACCAGGGCATGTTTAAGTTGATCTGGAAATATTCCAAAACTTAGCGCACTGTTTATCATGAATACCAATGGAATCACTGGCAAAACAAACTGAGACTAGTAGAAATATCATCGTGTCCACGACTAAACTTTAATTTTTTAGCTATATCCCAAATTTCTTTTTCATCCCCTGGATGAAGAACTATTGCGGTTTGATTAAATTCAATGTTCGAACTAAAAGGTATATACGGATGTGTATTTTGTTGGCAATTATGGTGTTGGTGCTGTTGTTTTTGTGGTTAGATGGAAGAGCGCAATTTGCGAATGTCGCACCTCTCGCATTATAACTTATATTGTAATAGTTTGATTTATTATTGTTATTATATCTGGCCTATTAAAATTTATTATTATATTAAATGGTGCAAATTAGAAAATAAGGTCCAACGAAATATTTAATTGAATAAAAAGATGTTTATTTTATAAGTGTCATCTATATTTACAATCTACGTAAAAAATGTGCACGAAATTAATAACGTTTCGAGTTTCTATTCCGCCACGCTCGTTCGAGCGGCCTTTCGCGTCACACCAACGCACCAACAATGGAACGTTCGTTTCTTTCCTTCTCTGTCACGACGCGGCGCGGTCTATTACGGCGGGGCGACGGCCGGGGAGACCAGAAAATTGAACGGCATCAAATTGATTAGGTGAAACCAATTACTATTCTGTCAAAGTTGATGAAAAAGGTAATACATAAAAGGCTACGAATAATCTGAATAGGTGGCACGAAGATATATTAAGGACGTACGTTGCCATTATACCCACGTTACTAATCCGGAGGAATATTCATAAGGCATACGACTTTCTTGGAGTGACATGGGCGTCGTTCTACCGACATATTACGTCGGAAAGTTTCCATAAAGCCATTTTGCGCGGCGGCGAGGTTAACCGGCATTAATCTCAGCCAAGAACACGCTCGCGTTATCCGAGCTTTAAAATAGAACCTCCACGCTTGTCCACGGGGACGTTCTACAAGACCGAATTTTAATCATCTTCATTTAATGTCATTTCATGAACACTAAATCGAAAAAGAAATTGAAAAATACTTATCTTCACTAAAATTCGACTCCGTTGTATACCTATATCTGAAATTGTTAAGATCTTGGAAAAGTGACACCAAAATGATAAAAATTATTTCAACTAGGCACTGTCTTTTTTTATGTCAAGTCTAATTTGCGATTGCAGTGTAACACTGAAAATACGCGCAGCATTTGACCGTCTCGATGGATAATCGTCCTAGTTACTTTCGAAAAATTACTCACTAAACTCCAGCGTCGCCGTTGGTACAGAGGAATCAGCGTCGAAAAAAAACGTTTTTATTTTTGTCTGTCTGTTCCCTGTTCTACCGTCTCTGTTCCAGTATTTTTCGACGATAACTTCCGAACGGTTTGAGCTAGACGCTTCAAATTTTGCTCTTTTTTTACAGTCCATCATATGAATAAGATATTTGAAAATGGCAGCGATCAGACATTGGCCGCCATCTTTTTTTGGACATTGCTGTGAAACACGATAAGTGCTCGAAATTTAAAGAAATTTAGCTAAATTGGGGGGCTGAGGGGTCGAAAAATATTTTAAACAAATTGAAAACAGCGTATTCTAAGAAAAAGATCATTTCTCAAAACCGTTTATGGAACCGGAAAAGTTCTTGAACGAGAAGACCCATAAGATTTGACTTCATAAACTTTAATTCTACACGATTTTTCGAAAATGTACAGGGTGCGCCGCAAATGAAAAAAAAAATTGTTATTGACAATTGGCTATAAGTGAAAGTATTTTAGATATTAGTTTTTTTGTATTTAAGGTTTTCATCTATTGTACAGGGTGTTTGCGGTACTCCGTGCAATATTAAAAAACGTAATACGTGCCCTAAACTTAGTTAAAGCAACTTCAGACTTGGCAGAGAAGTATAAGTCTACACTTACATTTAAACTGATGATGCTGGGTGTCATCGAATATCACGAATTATTTTTTTTTAATTTTGAACTTTATTTTGGATTATTTTGGCTTAACTTTAACCCCATCGGCAAAATTCTTTCTCCAGGAGAGGCGGAAGATCTGGTGCTATAACTCCTATAACTAGCCAACCATTTTTTCGATTATATACAGAGTTTTTTAAATATAGACAAAAATCTAAGACCCTAAAAATTGTTCTTTTCCAGAGCAAACTATTTGCCGTAAATCAAAATTTGTAGAAAATATGGTTTTTGTCTATCACGTACGCTGCTGGAGATGTTTGAAAAAATCAGTTCAGTAGCGATGAGTCATTGACTATGCTGCATAGTTTATGAAAAAAAATATTTTCTCGAAAACCTCTTCGAAAAATTCATGAACGTGGGGAATCCAGGACCATAACCTGTAATTCGAACATTTTGTCAATTATATACAGGGTGTGTTGTTTTCAGGGCAAAAATGTTAAATATCCTAAAAATTTCCGTTGTGGGGTAAATTTCTAGTTGTCAATGAAAAAGGTCAAAAGGTGGGATAATTTGGAATAAACAGTACCGTAAACTGAGTCGAGAGTTACATTTTTTTTATTTACCGTTCTTGTCTATTATACAGGCCGCGCGAGATATTTGAATTAAAATATTATTGTAAATCGCTATAACTGGTAAAAATTTGTATATTTACCAAAGTTTGCCATAATTTTCAATTTCCTCGATAAATTGAAAGTCACTTTATACAGGGTGTCTGCTCAATCGAATTTTGGGAAAGTTCCATGTCCGCAGGAGCACGATAGAAAAACAATGCGTTCCGTTTTTGACAACAAACCGCTAAATGCCTTCTTTTTGAAATACAATGCTGCTTCGCGCTACGAACTTGCTCCGACCAGCGAAAGCATTCTTGTTGCCCTTACTCACTCCGTTTGAACTATCGCTTTTATTTTTTTGTTGCAACAAACATGAACCGAAGTCATTTGAACTTGGTTCTAATCATTCTCTTCCATTTCAGTTAGTGCCGACTGCTGCACTAATATCTTTTCAGAACACAATGCTAGTGCGTTCTCATTGACCTTTCACCAAATGCCCGTTGAGATTCTCACTGAAGTGGTTAAAATTGGTGCATAAGAGGAGAGTTGCTTAGGAGAGTTTGTACTGAGATTTTGACCATCCATGGTGTTGCAACAACATGGTATATTCCTCAGCGTCCTGCAATTATTAAAGTATAAATGCTTCATGAAATAGCATGGCTTGAATGAAGAGTATTCAACACTTTAATCTAATTCACACCAATATATTGCAAATGCATAGGAAATAAAGATTAGATTAGATTAAAATTTGAAACCTCGTCAAATTTCACGGAAAAACATCGGCAATGGTAATACTGCCAATACACAAAGACGCACTTGGATCTAACGGACCTTCTAAAACATGTCTAAATGAAAAGAAAACTAAATACAACTTTACAAGGGTTTATTTAATTCGTACAATTATTTTATTTCTGTCCGCAAAAGAAGGTTTCCACGTCAATGTGTGGTACCGACTCACGATATATTTATTTTACCGCGGGCCATTGTCGACGTAAAAATACATGGACCTAGTTAATCTAATAAT